TATTTTCTGACAGCTTTTAGTGTGTAAAAGATTGCGCAGAAATAATTTTCTGAAACAAAACTTTCAGAAGAGTTAGAGTGCATTAGTGGTATGTAGTACCGCGCAGCACTTATAAAGTTTCAAATTTCAATCACGTTTTCCAAAAAAAAAAATTTTTTTTCAACTTCGTCCCCATCGATACATCAGATACTCTCCAAATAATATTTTGTTTTATGTCATTTTTGGTAGTAATCAAGTTCGCTATAATGCAATTAAGATTTTAATATTTTTTATATTTGCTCATTTAATGATCTTGCAAATATATTTGCTTCCTATATCTGCATGAAAAAAATGGAAGTTCGTAGAATCTCTTCACTCAAGTGCCTATGGGGCGTCAATTATATCATACTTTTAATATTTTAGTCCTTAAAATAAACAAAAAAAAATTCTAATTCAATTTTCGATTCGAATGTGTAGAAATAGATATTTTACATTCATTTTTAATCATTATACAAGTAGTGATTTTACAACATGTTAAAATTAAAAGGGTTAGTACAAAAAAACATTTTTAAATTTAGAAGTATAATTTACCATTTTTTTAAATTTCTCGTAAGTTTCTTAGTTATAATTAAGATGTCATCCATGTATTAGGGAAAATTTTATATATATATATTTTTAATATATATTTTAATAGGAATGGAAATATTATTAAAAATTAATAATTCACAGATTCATTCGAAAGAAATATACATTTTATAATATTTAAACTGGGATGAACTGAGAGTAGACTTTGGCTTACTTTGAGATGTCTTGTCACTAAGTTTTTGTCTATAAGATTTAATAATAGTTATCAAAGAATATTTTATAAAAGATTATAAGCACGTAGAAACTTTCCTGTTTAACCAAGTCCACAGAATTGGAGATCAAAATGAGCTACATGTGGCATAGAGCAGAACTCTCTACCTATGGCAGCACCATTAGCGTGTGGAGAGTCATAAGAGAAGAAAGTATGTTAATTTCTGTCTTGATTTTCAAATAAATTAAAAATTTTCAAGCTAGGAAACTATGTGGAACTGAAAACTACATTGAACATAGTTCTAAAAGAAAGTGTCTGGAAATTTTAAACAATATTTTTGATAATAAAGTACGAAAAATATTAAGAAAGGAAAAATTATTGTTGTACAGTGCAAAAAGAAGGATATTACCCTGAATTACTTTCGTTCTCATGATCGGATTTTCACGTACTAAGTGACAACCTTAATGGTTCTTGGGGGTGACCTCAAATATGTTAATTATTTAGTGCTAACTATAAATTAAATTACGAAATCTGACACAAAAACGTACTTTTAGAGAAAGTATATATTTTTAATAATACTTTCTACATTAATAATATTTATTTTTTTAAATATATGCACTTTTTTTTTTTTGGATTCTTCACTTTCAAAATGAAGGGGTGTAGCCGTAATCTGGGAAATATAATCGCCTAGATTGAACTGAGGGCATGCGCTATCGGACCACGTTAAACTGTTCTACCGTAAAGTACTCGACGTCACGCGCAGGTCGTCGGGCTACCAAATCAGGGGAGCCATCCCCTCTGCAGAGGATCAAAATTACAATGGCACGTCTTCGGATCATCCTCAAGGATGCTCGTGCACACTGTCGCCAATAGCCAATTGTGCAGCTCTAGTGTGACGTAAATAAAGTACATACCTACCTACCTTCTTTTTTAATCATCAAAAAAAAATTTGTGATTTAGTAAAGAAATTTAAATAAAACATTATATTGAATAAAAAAACATTTTGTTCAACGAATGTCGAGTTTTATAAAAGAATGTTTCTGATAGACTGTGATTAAGTATCAGATTGTGATTATATTTAATGTGAATAAATTTTATTTATTTTTTTTAGTTTGTTTTTTCAATAATTGATACAACAAAATAATATGCAAACTTATAAATAGATTAATTTCTTCAAAATATCCACTGCTTGAAACAATTAAAGGATATTGATAGTCTTGTATAACATAACGGTGTAAGCGTACATTTTCCGACCTACCCTCAGTTGGGCTTTCGGTTGAATGTCCCGCCGTCGCGACAGTCCTCCCAAGAGGACAGTAGTCCGAACACCAGCACACGCGCCCTATTTCTTCACAAATACAGTTTCTCTCAAAAAAATTTAAAAAATTAAATCTGTTATATCAAAAAGCAAGATTTTTTGAAAAATATAAATACAGTGTATTTGTAAAGTGATCCTAACAATAAAAAGGCTTTTTTCTTCCTTAATTCTCGACAAAAGGAATTAATGAGTTATGTTTACAACAATTTAGTCATCGCACACTTACAAATTAATTTCCAGATGAACAACACGAGCTAACAGAATAACGCAAGTTGCATAAAAGTTGCAAGTTGCTTTCATTCAGGTAAAAATAATGTATGCATAGGGGAGTGTCGGGTACCCCCGCCCACTGTCAATTCCATATGTATAGAATATTCAAGTCAATGGGCCGTCGGACATTAATTGTTGTATTAAAAAAAGATTATTTTCAAAAGTTTTAAGTATTTATGTGACATTTGTTGTTATTAAATGATATAATTCACTAAAAGTATATAAATATGTGATAAATAAAATAATTTTATGATAAAAATGATAAATGAGGTTTATGTATTGTCAATACATTGGTCATTTTCATTTATAATTGAAAAAACAGTCAAAAAACATAATTTTTGTAACTGACACATTTTGAAATGAGCTAAATTTCTATTTTTTTAAGTTAAACTATTCTTTTTTTGGTTTATTCTTTTTGCATTATTTACTTAGATGGTAAAACAATAGAAACATACAAAAATATTGATTATTACTCAATATTATACAGAAATATAAGCAATACTCCTTAAGTGGGCAGGGCTACCCGACTCTCCCCTATATATATATGAATAACTATGAATATCTCCTATGAATAACTTATTTTGAAAAAATGAAATTTTAATGAAAAACACCAACAAAAGCTTTCATTAATTTATTTTCTTTATTTTATTCATCGACGAGGTCGACGAGGAGAGAAAAAAAATATTGAATTGCGGTTTAGGCTAATGTAATTTCGTTCTCCAACTACATTTACGCGTTATCATCGCCAATTCCAACTGCAATCGCCAAGTATCTAATACGTGGTATGGTCTGCATGTACGCTTCCGGTCTATTTTAAAGCCATTTGGCTCACAACGTGATCATTGTGTTTAAAACTCTTGAGTAGTATTTCTTGTATGAAATGTATTTGTTACCTGATTTATTATTTGTGTTTAAAAAAAATCGTCATTTGATGATCTGTCATTTCCAAAAATAAGAATCGTCATTTGATGATCTGTCATTTCCAAAAATAAGAATCGTCATTTGAAAAAAAAATCAATGTAAAACACGTGTTAGCTTGTCAACAATATACCAAGTTCAAAATTTTAACCTAAGTGATAATTTGTGAAATAAACTTAATCTCGCTTCTCGAAGAGTATCCTATAACGCTAATATAAAATATTGCGCGTCTTGCAAGAAGAACAGTAATAAACAAGTAAAAAGAGTCCAAATCAGGACAGCCAAAGAGGCGAGTTCTTTTAAAACCTAGCAACCTTGTCTTTTTTTTAAATAATACATTTATAAAGGACTAGAACAAATTTTCTCTCGAAACTCACCAGAATCACTTGATATCATCAATATCTTATGAAATACTACAGATTTGAGCTCAGAAGTTATATAATTTATTTCTTTTATTAAAAAAAAATATCTGTGCAAAAATATTGCCTCGCAGAATAAGCTGTAGTAAGCAGCTGTATACTTTCTAATCAGAAGTAGAGCAGGTCAAGAACTCGAGATTGTTGTTGTTAACATTTATATTGAAAACACCATCCATAATTATAATAACTTAAGTAAATTTGATTTTAGTGTGAAATTCTTGTATAAATGAAGTAAAAAAATTTTAAAAAAAGCAATAATGTCAGATAACATGTTCATGTATTCAAATTCTAAAAGCTTGTAATATCGTAAATAATTCTGAAATCGTAGAATAATTCATAATTCGATTCAAATTTTCTTTTCAAAGGGGAATAAAAAGAGAACAATTTTGTTTTTTAGTCAGAAATCAACTGAAAAACTGTCTATTGCTTAGAAACTTTGAGGTATTTTCTTTTGACTATTAAAAAATAATCCTTTCCGAGCAATCACAGAACATTATATTTCAAATTTATTTTATTGTGTGAACTTGATTGTTTTGCAACGGAGTAAGATTAGGTATTCCTCTCTTGAATTGGTCTATGGTTTATCTTAAAATATTCATTTGCGGCGGTGACTTTGCTTAGCTGTTTTTTTTTAACTATTACCAAATATACATAATTTATTAGCCCTCCAATTTATGATCCAATCTTTTCGAAATTTTATTTACCACCTCTATTTTGAGGGTCAGGAATCCAAGTATGTAAAGAAATATGCTTATTCAAAGAAAGTGGGGTTTTGTGACTGATTTCGTAACTTTATTAATAGTTAGTATTAATTACAAAGCACATTTGAAATCACCCCCGAAACCATTAAGACTGTAGTACGTGAAAATCCAATCATTAGAACAAAAGTTATTCAGGTTGACATCTTTTTTCTTTCTTTTTCTTTGCACTGTACATTCTTATACAACTGAGAAGAGGAGGAAAGAGGAGAGGGAAGGGTCAAGACATGGAACCGGCTTACTCCCCAGATGGCGTATTCGAACATTGAGATCACAAATTGAAATATTTTATATTGAAAAGAACTTCAAATAATGACTTACATATTTATTGATTGCATAAATTGTATGATCAAAACTAAAGTGACGCTAAAATTGCCCTTTTTTCAACAAAAAAATATGCCTTTTTCCTGTTTAAAATAAATTTTGGAACAAATTTATTTTTCATGCAGTGAGAATAGCTCCTTCAAATATATGAAATGACGTTGGGAATGACAATTAGTGAAACTTTCCCACTTGGTCGGCTACCAAAGCAATTCATTCCTCACCTCTAGTGTGACGTTAGTAAAGTACCTACCTACTTCAAAGCATTCAGCTGAACTAGAGGTTAAAGTGAATCATAAATGATGCTCTTTGCCTGAACATAAAGTCTTGAAATTTTGTTTACATGCTTGTCATATATTGGATTCATTAAATACCGTTCATCTGATCCTTAATAAACTGTAAAATTTAAATACTTAAGTTATAAAAATGATGAAACCCGAGCCTTCTACTGGTCCTGTACGACCTCAGCAAACTGCAGTTGGTGATGAATTTCCATGGTGGATAAGATATGGTGTTAGGTTCATGGGCAGCATAAGTGCAGTTGGTTAGTTAATGCTCAATTCATAAACTCAATAATTGAAATTAATTTAGGTATTTACTACCATCAAAATTAGTGTCTTCAGACTGGGTGCTCTAAATTATATTTTTCTGAGCAGATTGTTTAGTTCATTATATTTTTACACATAGTATAAAGAGTTTTATTACGTAAAAATTATGTTTTGTTTTTGCACTGTTTCTAGCTACAAAGATTATATATATTTTTTTTATTTCTAATAATGATTCATTGTCTTGTTTTTGTTTTATTATTATTCATCGTATGATGTACTAACGTGTATGTAATGTTTATAACCAGGTGTAAAAGTGTAAGTATGTATTTTCTCAAAACAATAGGTTTTCTGAAATATAAAATACTAATACATAAATTGCATATTATTCTGTAGTGATTGTCAAACTTGAATAAAAGGAAAAATAATTTACGAACACAAAATCTCAACTAAAGACTTACTGTATACATTGATTAACTATTGAAACTAGTTTTAGCCCTTTCGTCATCACCTTATTTTGGTGAAATTCGTTCGAAAATCTGGGATTTTTTGGGATGATTTCCGTATCATAGTCAGTGGCCCCACAAGAAACTAAAAGAACATCACAGAAAGGAATCAACTTGAAGGGTATAATTTGTAACCACCACTCAGCAAACCTTTAAATGTTTGTTTTTTTTTCTTTTAATTTTTAACTCATGCAAATACAAATCTTGACATATAATTTTAAAATCACGTGAATACAAATATTGATGTTTGATTTTAAAATTGCATTTATATGAATCTCGATGCTGGACTTCAAAATCTGGTGAATGTGATCCTCGATATTTGATTTTAAAATCTCGTTAATACTAATCTTGGTTATGGTTGGTCAAATACGAATCTCAAAATCAAATTTTAAAATTGCGTGGATTTGAATCTCAACGTTTAATTTTAAAATTGCTTGAATAGGAATCTTGTTTCATTTTAAAATCGCTTAGATACGAATCTTGGTGTTTTGTTTTAAAGTTTCGAGAATATGAATCTCAATATTTGATTTTAATATTGCATTAATATGAATCNGTTTAATTTTAAAATTGCTTGAATAGGAATCTTGTTTCATTTTAAAATCGCTTAGAGTGTTTTGTTTTAAAGTTTCGAGAATATGAATCTCAATATTTGATTTTAATATTGCATTAATATGAATCTCGTTTGATTTTAAAATCGCATGGATATGTATCTCAAAATTTAATTTTAAAGCTGTGTGAATATGAATGTTGAAGTTTCAGTTTAAAATCCCTTGGATCTTGATGTTTCGTTTTAAAACCGTGTGAATACGAATTTTGATGTGTAATTTTTAAGTCATTTGAACACGAGTCATGATAGTGACTTTTAAATCATGTGAACATGAAACATGATATTTTATATAAAATACGAAACATGATACACATTCTTAAATCCTGCATAGTGGTTTAATTTTTTCATTAAAATTGAATATATGTATTACATATTATTTTTTAGTAAAATTTTTCAGGTTTCTCAGTTTTTTTTTTTATAACCAAAATTTTTTAATTTCAGTGCCAAGTTCCAAGTACTAAATCATGTAGTAATTTTGTATGCTTTGTTAAAGTATTATATTTTATAATATGTTAGTATCCTTTTTTCAGTTAGCATTAAAAAATTATGTACTGCTGTCATAGAAAAGAACAATTTAATTGTTAATAGTAGTGTAACAAGAGTAACCAAATATTTATAAAAGTTTATCTTAATTTAAAAATATTTTTTTTAAATCAAAAATAACCATGTAGATGTGCTGTTTTCCTATATTTCTGCAATGTGCATCACCACTATACATGTAACAAGAGTAACCATGGAATTGCCCATTTTCATATGTCAATGAGTTCTATATGCTTTTATTTTTTTGCTAGCAAACAACCAAAACAAAATTCATCACGAATATCAATATCAGCCTGCCATATAAAAAATTTTGCAAAAACCTGTAAAGAGCTAAAGATCTCGAATCATAATATGAGTAACTTGTTTGAAAGTTTCGGGAGAAATATCTTTCTTTAATGGTTTTGATTCTAAACATTTAAATGGCTAATAGCTTCAATCATATAATTCTCAAAATATTTTTGCTTCTTATCAAAAAATTGTGCATGCTTAATAAAAATTTTATTATTACAGCTGCATTAGCTTTAGGAGCAATGGCATGTATTACCTTAACACCTCGTTGCTTATTAGCTGGAATTCTTCAGATGTAAGTGTATAAACATTTTTCTTATAACAGACAATTTCAGAACTGAGACCTCTATTCTTAATGTATGCTTTTTAAATTTTTACCCTTTTTGTTTTTTATTTAAAATGTTTTTTCTTGGTTTCTGAAAAGAGTTTTTTTATACAAACACAAAAAAAATTTATTTCTTGATAGTTGTCTTAATTTGTAACTTATGAGAAAAAAATGCTAATAATTTATAAGGAAATAAGTAATAACTAATAAGAAAACAAAATAAGAATACTTCTAAGATAATGTGCCTTAATTTTTAACTTATTCGTGAATGTTATGCAAATAGTAGCATGTAAAAAATCACTGTTATGTATTGATTATGTGATGACCTATTTAAATTGTTTGTAATTGTTCTCAGAATTATTTTGGAAGCAATTATAATTATTTTTTATTTATTTTTTTATATAATTACAAGAAACCAATTAAAGAGAAAGAAAATGGTTTTATAGCAAAATCAATACAAAACTGTTTGTTCCGAGTTTTGTGGGTTTTTTAATAAAAAAACACAAAAATCTCTGAACAATCAGCTGCATTTTTTTATGCTCTGATGATCTCATCTAATTTTATTATAATTATATAATTAATCATAAAATATCAAGTAAGTTCTTTATGCATCTTTTCGGAAACTTAGTATGGTATAATGATGGTCAGCTTCTATGTGTATTCTGTTTCTGTAGTAAAAAAATGTTTAGAAGTGCACTTTTTGTCAAGTGAAATAAAACTTTCGCTAGATTATAAACATTCATTAGATTTAAACCAGTATAAAATAAAACTTTGTCTAAAAACAAATTACTCAATTTTAGCAATTGGTATTTTTCAAACCCTAAACAAGCCATTTAAGAAGATGAATATCTTCATTATTTGGGTTAGTGCTCAGATGCCTCAAAACAGTTTCACAGTATCATCTGATACTTCAGATAAAATATACTACATATTCATTTTTATGACTTCTTATGGAAGATTTACTCAGTATTTTACCCACACATGCAAAAAATAAAGAAAAGCCATATTTATTTAAATTTATAGAACTATTTATTGATTTGAAATGTTTATTGATAAAATAACCGGCACTGGTGTACGCTGCTAATTTTATAATTTCTTTTTTGCTTTTTCATATTTTTATTTTTTTTAAAGAAATACTTAAAATTTATGCATATCTTAGAGTTCACAAATGCATAGTTTAGAAATTTTTTTTTTTTTAGCTTGTAAGAAAGATTGAATTAATTTAAAATTGTCTGCAAATTTTTTAAAAACCTTTTTTTTTTTAAAAAAAAAGATTTTTTGCTACTCTTTCAGTCAACTTCTACTTTTTGATATAAGAAATAATTACATTAATAACAATGCTGTAAAGACATAACTTGTTTCGATTTTGAATCAAAATCATAAAGTTGAAATTATTAAGGATAAAACTCCACTTTGGGGAAAAAAATTTTGCTTACAATGCATGAAAAACACCTGTGCATGACTAGCTTGAAAAGACAAAAACAGAAATGGATTCAGTGAAAAATGTGGGATAAACAAGAACATTTATGTTCCAATAACTGATTTAGTATCTAATTCATCCTTTTGCGAAAAAGAGGATTCTGTTTACTTTTTAAGTTATACATTTTGGATTACACTTTTTGAATAAAAGAATACTGGTTTTGACTTTTATGGAACCTAGTTTTTTTATTTCCTGTCTACTGAGAGAAATTTACAGAAAAGAAATCCAAATAACTCTTTTTAAAACCGTGTGTCCTGTAAAATGCGTTCTTAAAGAAGAAGAAAAAGAATTATTATGACAAAATATTAATGATCAAGGCAAATATTCTTTTTTTTTTTTTTTTAAGTTGGAGGGCAATCACATACCCTGAGTAAAAAGAGAAAAATATTGCAATAGCTCATCAATTTGGGGGAAAAGAAGAACTCTAATTTAGTTCACAAATTAAAATAGCTCTATCAGCATGTCAATTGTCAAAACTCTAACTAATAAGAGAAATAGCATAGAAAATTTTTTAGTACAAGTTTAACAGTCAATCATTCTTAAACTTATTATCAAATTTATATTTTTTAATTTCATGGTATTCTCTGCACATTTTTTTGTATGCCATCATAATTTTAAATTTCTAAATCAAATAGTTTTTTTGCTACAAAACACAATGTAGCGTAATGCTGTACACCCAAATGACTGGCAGCATCTCTCACAATTTTTTAATATATCAATATTAAATTATCTTTCTTAGAAATTAGATAACTATTTTCTATCATTTTCACTTTTCTGTCTCCCCCTTCACTTATTTAAAATAGTTGAAGACTTCCATTTCGTCTTTCTCCAAAAGAAAACAAAATTTTGCCTAACCTCTTTTGCAAAATTTCTTTCTGTCTATAGTTGATTCAACTTTATGATGTTAAATAAACTAGGATTTACATTGTTTTAAGTAATCAAATTTTTACTGTACAAATCAAATCAAATTTTTACTTTAATTATTTTGATCTGTTAGTAGTGCATTTTGCGTAATGAGCACATCCGAGCAGCGTGCATTGTCTGCCAGGGATTTGCTTTACCAATAGGTGAGGCACAAGTAAGTGAACAAGTTGACCAATTTTGAAACTGACAATTTTCAGCATTGTGGAATGAGCTGTAGAATCTAGAATAAACAATTGAATGTGAATGCACCTTTACTAGGAATTAGTAGGTTGAATACAATAGGGATAGACATTCCAAAAGCAGAAAAAAACCTTTCAACGCCAAGAATGCTTAAAGTTGATTCTTTGGAAGGAAAAAAAGGGGTAAGGCTTATATGTGATTTAAAAAATGCCACAGGGTGCATTAGCACCAACAATAAAAAGGCAGGCTGCGATGCCCTTTGAAAAACATAAACCTGATTTGGTACCTGTTTCAATCGGGACTATCTTCTGTGTTGGCTACTAAATTAAGGTTTTCTAAGTTTGTACCAGACTTGTCTAGATTTTTAAATTGCTGAATAATTTGTTCAATTAATTTTATTGATAAATAAACCTTAATTGTATGTACATTTGAAAACAGAATAGAATTAGAATTCTCTTGGATAAGTACTAAAATTACTTTCTCTCTATAATAAATACCAATTTTTAAAAAAAAAATTGTTAGACTTATCAAAATCAAAAAAGTTTGCTTGTTGTACTCAGATATTCATCATTTACACAAATGTTCTAAGTTCATGTGCGTAAAAAAAATTCATGTTACTCCTTATTAAAAAAGCAGCCAGTGTCAGGACTCTCACATTCTACACAATTAGGCCAAATTTAGAAAATTATGATACAACTATAACTAATTTAGTATTTTCAAAAAGCTGTTACATTTAAAGAAATTTATTCTGGTGTGTATAATAATCAATATAGTTTTATTCAAATTATAACACTCTAAAAAAAAAAGTCTGTGATTTTCGAACAAATTTTGTGCAAATTAGATGGTATTGGAAAAGATTGAAACTAGTTATAAGAACAAATAAATTGCTTGCAAAAAGTTTTTTAATTGAAATTTTGTGTTCACAGAAAATTTTTAGCTTTACCTTAGACCTAGTACCTAGGACTTAAATTAGCCTAGAAGAAATCTATATTGTACCTTAGATAAGTCTCAGGTGTGTACAAGTCCAGTTAGCATAAATATATTTTTCAATGGCCAATATACACAATATGTAGAAGCCTTTTTTTTTAGTGAAGCTATAAATTTTTCAAATATTCTAATAAAGTATTGTATAGTATTTATTATATTTGGAATTAACAAAATTTATGTTAACTTATACTGTCTACAGGGAAAATAAGTTTAAATTGCATGAGTATCCAAATTCAATCAACTAACTAGCAGCAAAAATAAATTTCAAAATTGAGATTTATCAAAAGATTTATCTAGCGGCTTAAGATCTTTTCTGTACAGTACCTTAGACTAATTTACCTTACCTTTAAAAAAAATATTTATTGATAGACAAGTGTGCAAGTCAAAGTTGATCCAAAGTACAGAAATCAAATTTTAAATACAGTGGGTGATTGGTTAACGAACATTATCCATTTCAAGACTATGTTCGCTATCCAAATTGTTTGTTAACCGATCATCGATTCACCATAGACTTCTATGTTAAATCGATTAATTCGTTCTGGAGACCCTAAAAATTAAATTTTGAAAAATGTATAATTTCTTAGTAAGTTTTTTAAAAAATAATACATACATATAGTCTTGCATATTAATCAGTCCTTTTCATTTTTTGCTTATGGGGCGTTGAAGAACATGTCCAATGTCGATTGCTTTTCTCTCTTTTTCAGGATTTTCCGGAAGTAATTAATAGCATTGTTGTTGTAAAGATCCCCAACCCTACTGACATCAGCTTGGTTTGGGTGCTATTCTAAGACCATTGCTCTAACATCCTCCCACTTTTTCAAACGATCTTTAATGGCAGATGTCGGCATTGGTCCTCTTTCGTCATCCTCTTGTTCAGAAGGAGACACATTTCACTGTGTTTCTTGGTATTCTTCATTCAAAATTTCTTGGAGTTCTTCTGTCGTCAGTTCATCTTCATGTCCCATTATGAACTCTTCTATGTCATCCTCGTTCACCTCCAATTCCAGATCTCTAGCAGTTGTCATAATTTCAGGGGTGTCTCCCTGATCACCTCCATCTCCTTAAACAAAGGATGGGCACAGCTTCCGCCAAGCAGAAATCAACTGTCGCTGTGTGACTTCTGACCACGCCTTTTGAATGATACGAATAGCTTCAAAAATGTCAAATTTTTCTTTCCAAAACTTTTTTAAAGTCATTGTTGAGGAGAATTGGCTTGCTTCAAGACAGCGGCGAAACAGCATGCGAGTGTACAACTTCTTGAAAGCCGAAATATATCCTCCTGATCCATCGGCTGAATCAGCAAAGTCATATTCGGAGGTAAAAACTGAACAGTCAGCCAGGGAAAGTCTGTCAACAAATTTTCTTCAAGATCCTTTGGGTGTCCTGGTGCATTGTCCAA